TATAATTTATTTTAATGACATCATTTTGTACAAATAAATCTGGACATGTAAGGGAATAAAAACTGCCAACTGCATATTAAGTTTACACCAAGAAATACAGCACAATTTAGAAGTATAAGATCAAGCTCAATATGAAATGGAGTGACAACATAGTTTTTTCCAGTCATGAGAACTGTTGCTGCTGCACATTTACTGCCTCGTACTGTAAAATACTTAGCTACTATTTTCTATAATGGTCGCAAAATCTTATGATCTGCAGGGCTCTGAAAACGGATAGCCAATTACTGGACAAATTACTCAACAAAATCTGGACATGTAAGGGAATAAAAACTGTCAACTGTATATTAAGTTTACACCAAGAAATACAGCACAATTTAGAAGTATAAGATCAAGCTCAATATGAAATGGAGTGACAACATAGTTTTTTCCAGTCATGAGGTCTGTTACTGCTGTACATTTACTGCCTCGTTCTGTAAAATACTTTGCTATTATTTTCTATAATGGTCACAAAATCTTATGATATGCAGGGCTCTGAAAATGGATAACCAATTACTATACAAAACCAGATAACAAATGTTACATAAGTACAGCATTTTATGGATAATCCTAAGCGATGCTACTACTCAAAAGTCAAACAGAAGAAAATCAGAGCACACTGGATAAAGCATACCAAAATCTTAAGTTTCCATCTATAATCACAATCAGCAGCTAAAAGCGGACAAGACATTCAGATGCTCAGCACAAACAGGCAGGTCAATATAAATATGAAGAGACAAAAGGACAACAAATATCTAAAACTATATCAGTAAAGATCAGTAAAAATTGTACATGCCACTGCTCATACACTTAGTCTCATTTGAGAATATTTGCAATAAGTTATTCACAGCAACCAGATAGAAAGAATTCATGAAAGACCAGCACCAAAAGTAAGTTATAATAGCATATTGGCAGAAGAATGTAATAATTGGTAAATATGCTATTTAAAAATACATCAGTAAATGTTTAATACTTAGGGAACAGTTCTCGAAAGTTATCAACATATCACATGCAATTTCTAAAAGATTTATTTGCTAGATTCTCCACAAATATTCTAAATTATACGTACAGAAATAACTTATTATGTCAAATGAAAAATATGCATGGAAGAAAAAGTCAAATGATTTTTACAAGAAATGATTTTTAAGGAAAACTCATAATTTCATACATGTGGAAAGCAAACTGAAAACATTTGCACACCCACAGCATGTTCTGTTGCTAAGAATCAAACCTACCAATGCTCAGTGGTTTTACCCACTAAGTGGATTAAAATTTTGCCCAGAACAAACAAATTTAGTATTTTCTAAAGATTAATAATTAAAGAACAGCTACAGTAAACCTAACAGATCAGCCAACATAAACTACATTAGAAATGAAATTTAATGAAATGAGGCTGGGGAAAAAATAGCAGAGCATTCAAACAACTTAACTTGAATGTGGGCATCATCAACTTGTCCCAGCCACAAAATAATACATGATGTATGTAGCTATGCATATACATTTTAAAAAAGTATCTGGTCAATGGAAAAACCGGCAAACATAATATACGGTACAGTTAAAAAAAGTTCGACAAGGAGAAAAATGTCAAGACATTACTCAAGAAAGAATGTAAAGCTCTCAAATCTAAGTAAATAATATAATAACTAAGTAAAAGAAGACATTTCACATATCAATTTTGAAGCCAATTTAGCTCTGATTTATACTAGCAGGTTTATACCTAACAGATCATAGCAAATCCAAAATTTTATAAAAATTTAAATCATAGCAAAAACACTAAAACTAAAAAACATTAGTTCCAGAAAAACAAAGGTAAAACTGCTTCAAAGTTCTTCACTCTGATTTCATTACCTTGCCAACATAATAAAAATAGATATTTGATAACACAACACAACTAACTAAATAAATAAATAATGAAGATAAACATAAACTATAAAAATAAAAACTATGGAGTAGCAGCAATTTTTTAATTGTCACTTACAACTAAAAAAAGTGGGAGGAAGTTAAAAAAAAACCTCTCAACCTACATCACCAGTCAAGCGGCCAAGACTTTTTTTTATCTGTATGTTAAAAAGAACACACAGATAAAAAATATCACAGAGAAATACCCCTAAAGAATTTACAAAATTTAGTTTTAAAAAGCACCCATTTCTTAACAGATGCAAGTAATTAAATATATGATAACATTCTGACTCCGTAGAAAATATAAAGAATTCATATTGTGATAATTATTTACAGAACAATACATGACATTCTTATGAACGAGGACTTCCTGTTGAACTGAGTTAATATTTCAGAAATAAAAATGTTTCCAAAAAAATAAATTATAAGCAACATGAAATTCTGTGATTTATGATGAAATGCACTTTTAAAATACATTATCAAGGGACCGAAAAGTAATGTCGCTTTCTTACATTAAATTCAAACGAATACATTTTTAACAAGCTTTTATTTTTAATCAATAATATAATCACCCTCGTTATCAACAACCTTTTGCCATCTAATGTGCAGATTTTCAATCCCGGACCAATAAAAATCAATTGGTTTTTGAGTAAAATATCTCGAGAGGACATTTTGGACATCATCCAAATTTTCAAATTTTTTGCCACAAAGAAAATGTTGTAGGGATCCGGAATTTGCCACTAAGAAATTGTTGTAGGGAAAATGGAAATTCAATGCTGCGATATCGGCCGAGTATGGTGGGTGAGTATGGCAGTACCTCCCACCCCAATTCATTAATTTTTTTCAGTGTTCGCTTGCATTGTCGTGTTGCAGAATGGCGCCTTTTCTGTTGACAATTGATATTTTTCAATTAAAGATTGGTTCACTCCATCCAATTGTTCACAATAAAGGTCTGCATTAACAGTTTGTCCAGGTTTCAGCAATTCAAAATGAACAATTCCGCGAATTCTCCATCAAACACCCAGAAGCGCCTTTTCGGGATGTAAACACTTTGTAACCCCTATTAAAACTGCCTTTTGAGTTTTGGATTATCATATAGGACTTATTTTTTTTTTTTTGTCTCCACTAATCAAACGATCAAAAAACGGTTCTGTACGGTGCCGTTGAAGCAATATGTTGCATGTGATTGATAGGTTGGTTTTGTTCTTTTCGGACAGATTATAGGGGACTCAAACATTTGCTTTGCTTATTTTTTCATTCTGCTTTAAATGTTCTTGGATGGCCGACCAAGGTTGGTTAAGAGTGTTTGACATGGATTTGCTTCCACTTCTGCCCTTAGCATGTTGTTGTTGACATGGGCAGAAATGACATTACTTTCCGGTCCCATTATTATTTCTTACAGATTTCACATAAAAAATAAAGCAATTTTATTCTGAAATACATGCATTTTGTATAAATACTGTGAAATTCAGGTCAAATTTAGTTTTTTTAAATGTAAAAACAAAATAAGATGTAATTTTTAAAAACATAAAAACAGGATAATGCAATGTAAATTACAATGAAAAGTTGGTTAATTAAAAGAGGATAAGCAGGGAGGATTTTCTCAAAATTCTGTACAGAAGTTTACACAAAGCAATTTCAACATTAACAGAATATTATGTAATATAAAATCTCAAAATGTATAAATTTCCATATAGAGGGAATTATGATTAATAAAACTTTCATTACGCTTTAATATATTAAATATAAAAAATTCCATACATTTATGTGATACATTTTTTCAGATAAACATAATATTTACATGTAAATAGCCAGGGGCATAGCTAGAGTTTCCAGTGCCAGGGGACAACTGAACAATTTGCACCCCTTTCTGTGTGCCAAAAATGGAAAACATTTCATTAAAAAATTTCATAGCATCAATTTGGCGCTGCTTGTATGCTGCACCTAGGGACAAATGTAACCCCCTGCCCCCCAGCTATGCCACTGGAAATAGCTACAAATTTAATGAAGATAGTTTAACTGAATATGGGGCTATACATTGCTAAAACCAGTAATTTTTGTCCTGTAGATTTCGCCTAAGTTTATCAAAACTGTCAACAACTAGGCAGTACAAGCCACCTATCTCAGCAAATTCCTCATCAAATATCTCTGCAAATACTGAATGTAAAGGTACAAAGCTTTCTCTTTTTAATTATGGTACAATAAAGATTTCACAAACTGAGATTTTCCATCTACAGGGATTACTATATTCACATTTTGTCTTTACAGAACTCTCCCACCTGAAAACCGAAATCGTTTTCATAAAGTGTTTTACCTTTATTTCGAGAAACTTCTTGTAATTAAAGGTACATATCTAAGATAAATATTTAAAATGAAAGCTGAAGCTACTCTTTTTTAAAAAAACCTATAATCCTTTTTTAAAAAAGAATGAGACTCAAAACATAATTAAACATTAGGATGCTCCATGTGATTTTATTACAACTGCATAATTATTCAGCTGTTATGAAAAGCTACAAATGCTCTTTAGTTTGTAATTACGTAAAATGTTTAAATGCATAACATATAATCATTTTTACTAATTACATTTGCTGACTTAAACTTGATCCCAATTCTCTGTTTCAGCCTAACTTTGAACGTGTTTCCCTAAGTTTTAAAAAAGAAATTACATAATAAAAACTTAATTGAATATATCCTCTTCTACAAATGTTTTAGGTTACATGCATTATGCAAAACCATTTCATTCCTTCAATAGTATACTACTATCTTGCTTTTCAACTTGAAGGTGCACATTAATCCACTTGCTATGCAGAATATAAATTAAAAAGTAATGAATCACAATGAGCCCCTTAAAGAAACTTAATATGCTACAAAATATACAGATAATGCCAACCACATTATAAATCAAAATAAAATAATCTGATACTCCTGGTAACTTCCCTGAAATATGATGATAGAACTGGCTTTCTGCTTTCAGTTGAAAAATTATCATGGCTGTAAAACAACACAGCTGATAACATGTGTTATTCTAAATATATACTCTTAATGAAAATACTCTACAGAGCAAGTGAAATTTAAATACTTCATTTTTAAAATAATGAGTAATTACATACGAAAACAAAAAATTTTTCAAACTAATTTTTCTGTAACTTAAGTAAAATACTATTCAAATTTTGAATATGCTTTTGTACACTTCAAAAGTGAAAAAAAAATCCCTAACAAGTACACTACTCAGTATCTTAAATTTTACAGAAGTCTTCTCATTAAATATTCAATTATAGTTGTAGGTAAAGGTAGGAGTTTTACATTTTTAATGGTATCATCATTAAAATGTCTTTGAACTGCTTCACGGCAAAGGTGCTTGAGACTTTCTGGCCGAGATGAAGAGTACCATGAGTAAAATTCTTCATCCATGTGAAACATTTCAGATAAAATACTGTGTTTATAAAGCCATGTCGCTAAATTCAAAGGGTCACATCCAGACATTATCAACACCTGAAAAAAAAAATAAATAACAGCTTAAAATGCACACTGGATATTATAATCAGTGAAGCTTAACACATGCATGCCCCCAAGAGTGAATTTTACAAAACTTTGCGAGATTAAATATACAATAAGATGATGACAAAATAATTTTGAGCTTATTAAGTTATATAGAAACCTTATACACATGAAATAGACATATAGAAACCTTTACACATTTCAGACAATATGATTTGCCATAGCTTCAATACATTTCTTTTTCATTAATGCACAATTTTACTGAAGGAAAACAATTTCTTATTTTATTTAAGGAAAGTAATTCTAGAACCCATATTAAGTTGATAAACTGCATAAAAAATTTAAGATACTTCATTGGTATGGGGTTGATATTATACTGTAAAATAAAGGGAAATTAATTTATATAATACACAGCTTTGGAAAAAGATACCTGAAATATTAATAGCAGATCTCTCAAAAACAGAAGATTAATAAAAATGTCCATCACATAAAGCCAACCAACTATAATCATAAGCCCTCACTGATAAGGTAGTTAAAAGATATTGGTGGCACTAAAACCCATTTTCCCTTTCAAAAAGGAGCTTTACATGGAAGAAATTCCAAGGAACTTGTAACATAGCCAGGAAATCAGACAAAAGCCATCCAAATGTAATAATTAATACCTTTTCAAAACTGTGAAATGGAATTAAATACATTGTGCTATAATAGGAAGATGACAGAAGGACAGCTTGCTGTTGAGCACACTGCTGCCTAGCCTACGAAATAATACAGCAGCCTCATGTTTTTACAATCATGCAGTTTATGAATTAAACATTTTTACACAATAATGTGCTTACCCCCCCATTTAAGAACACTTGATTTTCAGAAAAAAAGTTTTGTGACCTGACAAGTGTATAGAATAAAGAATCTACAGTATAAGGCCCATATCGTTCATGCATTTGTTTCATACGAACAACTGTTTCTGGGAATTTTTCTGCCTGGTTTACTACTGAAAGAAAGTTTGATTTGGTTTGGTTTATTTAATTATGGCAAAGCACACAAGGGCTATCTGCCTAAAGGGAAAGATGCCTTTGTGGAGGACTTTCTAAGGGAAACTGGCTCATATACACATTACACATGGGAAAAACCACCTACTGAAAGAAAGACGTGCAATATTTTCCTTCTTTTTGAAAAAAATTCCAAGTTGCTCGTTTTCAACCAATCAGCTATCAGCTTTGAATGTTATCAGCTTGTTTGTAATGGAGAACAAGTTTCCCATTTACATCTTAACTCCAAAATGGTATGTGATTATTGGCTGTTGTGACAAAGCAGAAAATTGTTCCAAACAGTTGTTCTTCTGAAACAAACAGATGTGTGATAGCAGCCTACGGAAACTATGCATAAACTATGTATAGACAGAGGTGGCTTAATACATGCCCAGGCAATAATTGCTGTGTATCACACATATCTTTTTCCCTTAAAGAGTCTGTCTTAACCCTTTTGAGATGGCACGCCTATAAAACATTTCCTTGGGATAGACGGGAGTTGAAAGGAATCATCATGCAGGATGGACATTTTGCATCACTAAGCTTAACTTTAGGGGGGAAAAAATACATCCTAATGTCATAATTTTGGTACCATTTTAGATTATTATTTAAGCTATCACATATAATAAAATTAGTGTTTAATAATCTTTTACCTTAGCCTAATATGAAAATATACATAAAAATTTGTTTACGTTGAGAAATAACTTTTAGGAGCATTATTCAAATTATTCCAAAGTTTTAATTCATAAAATAAATTAATAAACTTTTAAATTAATCAAAAAATATAAGAAAGCCTATTTACAAGAAGTAACAAAATCTTTCACATGAACTCGAAGGCAGACACACAGTGAGCTCAGTCCCTGACAAAATGTCCATTTAAGAAATATTAGAAACATTGCTCTCCAGCTCTTTACAAAATAAATCATTTGTGTCATTTATCGGACACTAACTGGCTCATTTTACCATGGGAGTATAATCCTTCATCTGATAAATAATGCTTACTCACCATAATAAAGTGAAGTAAAGGCTTTACAAAACAAAAAGGGAAGCATGCAAAATATAAATGATACAAGCAATGCAAATTGAACAGAACCTCGCATAGTAACCCTAAATACCCTATATAGTAGCAAAAAAAAAAAAAAAAAAAAAAAAAAAAAGAAAAGAATTAAAAAAGGATTCAAAGGGCTATCAGAAACATGAATGTTAATATCATTTGGCGAGTTAAAGATCTGAGCTCTGTTTGTTTACATTACACTTTTCCTCTTCTCCTGCAATAGCTCACAACATTATGCAGAATGTTACCAAATTGAGAGTCAGGACCTTAAAACCATATTTCAGTTAAATTATGGACACAGGATGCCGGTCTTTAAGATGTTCCAGGACACTGGTACAAATGTGTGATAGCTGGGTGTGAGCAAGAAAATGCCAGTGTGCTGGCCAGGAAATGAGTGTTTCTTGCTGGCACTTATGTGTGACAGTCGGCATAAAAGGGTTAAAAGAGGCAATATATATTAAACCTGACCAAAATAATGAGTTTTTTTCGTGTTCTCTGATGACTGAAGACACAGAATACAAATTCATTCTTAACATTTTTACCTGAAGATACTAAGAACAAGCTGTCATCTTTCCAAATACCCACACAAGATGAAGCAGGCATCGCAGAACTGAGTGGTATTATGTTATTGGTTATAGTGTTCACAAGCAATTTGCTACTGCATCAACCTCAGTGGTGGAAATACAACTGTACAATTTCACAAGCTTTCCAGGAAGCCATTACACCCCAGCTCATCTCAGTGGAAGGCAACTCTGGGAAATAGAGAACTCAACTAATCGAGGATTTCTTGGACAAAAATGAAATTTTCATGGAGTAACCACAAAGGTTTCCAACTCTCTACCATGTCTCAACCTGAATTTGCTTACATTTAGAAGTACACTGTGAAAAAAAAGGGGGAGACAGTTCTATATCTCCCGTTCTATTGGGCCAATTGACGAAATTTTTGCGTTTTTTATGTCTCGAAAGCGTGACTTAGGATATGTATTAGATTTATATATAGCATCATTGTTAAAATACAGGTATTTTGATACAATATCGGACTTTTTCTGAAATAACATATCAATTTTTTTCATTATTTCAATTCTATGACTCAAACTACACCAAACTACCACGTTTTGTAAAAATCGCACGAGTAGCTTTTAAAAAAATTAGCTATCAAAATTTAGTTCCTCAAAGTTAATTGAATTTGGTATAAATATATTAATCTCTCTTTTTTTATTAAGCTTTTCTGATTCTTCCTTTCACATTCGAATTCAGGTTTTTCCAAATAAAATTCACCCATTTTTTGATTTATTTTAAAATCAGTATTTTTAAATAATTTTTACAAATTTTTCAAAAAAAAAAATTTGAATTATAATTTATAAAATTTTTACCATTATCTTAAAGCAGATGTATTTCTAAGCATACCTGCAAAAAATGACAATTTTTTATTCAAAATTTTCGAAGATGTACATGAATTTATATATTGGCGCATTTTGAAATTTAGCATATTTGTTGAAAGCGATAAAACATCAGATGTGGTTTAAACACTTTGCTAAAATTATTTGGAAGTAGAAACGAGACTTTTTCCCCACTCATACACAATATAAAAAGGCAGGAACGAGGTGTCTTTTTTCTCGCTCTGGCATAATGAAAGGGAAAGGAAAATTGGTTGCCATATATTAAGAAGTTCGCCAATTGAATTATTCTTGGCCAAACTGAAAAATTTGGCCAAAATAAATTTTTAAATTTCTCCATAAATTTCGCACCAAATTTTACAACATTTAATATCTAGGCATAATTTGAGTTGTAGAATCGAAATATGGGGGAAAAACTAGTATGTTATTTCAGAAAAAGTCCGATTTTTGTGCCAAAATAATTATGTTAGAACAATGCTATATATAAATCAAGTATATATCCTACATCACGCTTTCAAGACATGAAAAACGCAATTTGAGTTTCATCAATCGGCCCAGTAGAAGGGAGATATAGAACTGTCCCACTTTTCTCTCTCCCTCTTTTTTTTTTTTTTTTTTTTTTTTCCTTTTTTCTTTTTTCGTAGTGTGCATAGTAAAATTCTCTGGAGTACCAGTGAAAACTTAGAAGTCCTAAGTTGAGATCTATTATATCACTATGATGGCAACACTGCTATTAAATAACTTCTGAAAAGTGAATGACAAAATTAATTACCATATTTGCTGTCGTATAAGAGGCACCCTCTTTTTTTCTGCCCATTTTTGAAGGATAAAACTTTTATTACTGATCATTATAATGAATTTATAGTATTTTAAATATAAAGTAATACAGTCAAAAGTCGTTAATTCGGACACCCATAATCCGGAATGATCTATAATCCGTACCTCAAAGCTTAAAACTTTCTGCGCATGCGTCTCGTTGACGCATGCACGTAAGGCCTTTACGGCTAAGAATATGCTTGTGCGCGTGCGCAAAATACGTTTACGAGTGCGTGTTTAATGTATAACAGACGGTATAAGCTAAGCAAAAATTATTTAATTATCTATTTCTGTTAATGTTGCAGATTGCGTTGTTCCTTAATCTTCGAATTGGATCCGGCTATTATTTTTTGCAGACTGTTAGAGCAATTTTATAAAAGTAAGCTTGAACTTTCGATTATGTCAAATAGAATTTCTGATATATATTTATTAATATGTAAATTATCTACAAAGCGAAATCATGTTTCGAAGTTCATTAAACAAAAAGTGGAATTGCTACAAAAAATGGATAAAGGCATATCCTTTGTTTATCTAAACTTTGTTTATCTTTAACGCCGCGGCGCCGCGCAATGAATTGGAAGTTGATCTGTCAGCACTATCCTTATCTTCAGGGCAGATGTTTTTATTTTATTTGGCTTATAATTCCTTATTAAATGTAGTATTTCATCTCGATGTACTCCATCTTTGATATGATTTAAATCA